ATTTCTTAAAAATGAGAATTATCTGTAAGACAGGAAGCTCTCCCTTCTGTTGACTCTTTCCCCATTTTAATTCAGTCCAGAGTTTCCTCCCACAGCCTCCTTCGCAGGGAACACACCCTTACCCCTCCCCCGCTCCAGCTGTCAAGCCCACAGCCCTGGTGTAGTCACTCGGCCTCCCTGATGCCAGGTGAGCTGGCGGGACGGGGCAGCCCTGGTGCTAGGAATCCGGACTGCACTCTCAGAAAAGGGTACATGTCTGCAGGGGACAGAGACGGAGAGCTGAGATTCACAGGGATTCTCTTCCCTTCACCCCACATCCACTGTCACACCTGAGGGAGTGTTGTGCAGCTGGAGGACATGTCAGGACACTCACGGTTTGTACTGAGCACCTACTATGTGACAGGGACTGTGCTAGTCCTTGTGTGGGACTCCACAGACAGATAGCAACTTAGGGGGTCACTCACCACAGCACCCTCCAAAGGTCCAGGCTGGTCCTGCTCCATGATCAGGCTGCTGAGGAGTGGGCCTGGAGCAATCACTAATGCTGCCTACGGGCACCACCTACAGTACAAGCTTCATGGAGTCTGGTGACTGAGGTACTAGCATCTCATTTCCAGGTAAGCAGACTGAGTCTCAGAGAGGTAAAGTTGACATAGGTAACATGCAGCAGGTCCTGGGATTTACATATTTTTCCATCTCATTTCTGAAGGTCACAGGTAGGACATTTAAAGGAGTATTAAGTAACCACTAGAAGCAATGGTGTGTATCTCTATTATTTTTTATGGGAAAACATGCCCACGGTATAACATTGTGTAGAAAAAATAGTTTATAGAGCCATTAGTATGATATTTCTGGAAAGGAAAAAACACATTCAAATAGATATATATGAGTGGATGACAAGGGGAAAAAAAGGCCAGATGTGGTGGCATGTGCCAGTAATCCCAGCAGTCCAAAGGCTGAGGTAGGAGGATCACAAATTTCAGCCCAGCCTGGGTGAGTCTGCAAGTCCCTGTCTCAAAATAAAAACATTTTTCAAAGGACTAGGGGTGTAGCTCAGTGCAAAGCATTGGGTTCAATCCCTAGTACAAAGAAAGAAAGGAAGCAAGGGAGGGAGGGAAAAAGGAAAGCAGGCTTGGGGAGGGAGAAAGGAAAGAATTAAGAAACAAAAAGAAAAAAAAAAGGATTATGTTTTTAAAATTTTACACATACAGCTTAGCGGCACAAGCAGCTGCCTCGCAAGCGCAAGCTCCTGAGTTTGATTCCTAGTACCCGCCAAAAAACTTACACATAATCTTTGAGTAGAAAGTTATCTGAGCTTTTTTACTTCCTACATTTTATTTTTCAGGCTGTGCTTATGTAGGAGAGGGAAACACCTCCACTCTCTGTGTCAGTGACTGGCATCTGTGAATTAAACAAAAAGAGGCTTGTTATGCACACATACAAGAGAGTCACAGAAAAGAAGAAAAAACTCAGAAGAAGTGGTTAGGTGTAGGAACTTATACAGTGGTACCTCGGTTCACAAACTCAATTCTACGATTCTGGTTGCAGAATTCGTTCCATGATTCTTGTTGTAACCAAATTCTGTGACCAGAATCATGGCATTAAATTCATGAACCAAGGTACTATTGTATACAATTTTAACAAAGGATGATACATTGTGAAGAAGTAATAAAACAAAGGAAAAGAGCTTAGACACAGTAAGTTGCAGGATGGTAAATGTATGGAACTCCTTGTAAGTTGCAGGATGGTAAATGTATGGGAGAAACTGGTGGAAGAGAAGAATTATCTGGTTAAGGTATGTCAAGCCAGCTCCTTTGGTCAAGGTGTCTCTGATGATTGAGTCGTTATCCTCTTCCTGGTATGGGAGAGGAGAGGGAGATACTTCATAAAGGGAAGTTTATGACCTGCTTCTGGGGAGAGAGGGGGAAGGCAGAGAATTTCTCCTGCATCTGCTCATCTAATTGGTCAAAACAATGCTATGCCAAAGTGGCAAATTTTGGGGTTCCCCATTCTGTTCCCCTGCACTTATCTTATGCTCTTGAATTCTTTTTCAGTGAGCATGTGGAACTCTTATAATCATCTATCTCTAGGTCCTGGTCTCCTGATGGCTCCACTGTAAATCAATCTTAGCTACTTTCTCTAGCATGTTCCCTTAACAGTTGGTTCTGTTCTTTTTCTAAGTTACTGGTTAGGGTTTGATGGAATAGAAGACTCAACAGGTAACTGTTTGTCTGCCGCAGAGACAGTGGCACAGCCAGCTAACGAGACAATGAGGGTCTCTGGGATAATGACCCTCCTTTGTAGGACGAAGAACTTTTGTCCCAGTGTGTTTCTTCTCAAAGGTTTGGCCCTTGGGTGACCATTGCAAAAAGAGCTTATGGTCATTCATTCATGCATTTATTTTTGTAGTGTTGGTGACCACCTCATACGCTAGGTGAGTACTGTATCCCTGAGCCCCAGCTCCAGCCCAGGGCCTAGCGTTAACCGGTGGGACAAACCTGGAAATGCGTGTGCATATAGTGTCGGTGGTGCTGCTATAGAAAATGCCATTAACTTCATTCTTCAAACTTTCCCAGATTTTGCCCAGCCCTACAACTCTAGAAATTGGAATGATTAGATGCCTATTTGGTTAAATGGAAAATGCAAGCTCATTTCCCCAAGTCAGCTAATGGCTACTAGAGTCAGAGCTGGAAGGGAAATTAGACTTCTCTCACGGGAAACATCTAGCAACACTTATTTTCTTTAGGTGCGACCCAGCAGGGAAGGTTATTTTCTTCTAAGTGTCCCTCTGTAATTTCTAATCTTTCATGATGAGCTTGTATTATTTTTAGTATAAAATATTTTTAGACCTACTAAAGTATAGAGAATAAGATAGCTAACATTATGTGGTATTCACCCAGATCATATCCCTTAGAGGCCCTCCTTGTACCTTCACCAAAGCCGGGCCCCCTTTCCAGAGGAAACTGGAGTCCTGAGCTTAGCGTCTCTTATTCTCATGTAAGAGCCACCTAACTTCACAATCAGGGAAGATCACAGGAAAAGTACTTTTTAAAAGCAAAGAATGGGGCTGGGGATTTAGCTCAGCGGCAAAAGCGCCTGCCTGGCAAGCGCAAGGTCGTGAGTTCGGTTCCCGGTACCGGAGAAAAAGAAAAAATAAAATAAAATAAATAAAAATAAATAAAAGCAAAGAACATCAATTTTGTCCTCAGAGTCATGTGGTTGTTCTCAGACGCCACACCTCACTGGTCAGTAACACTCCAAAATAAATCTGAGGAGGTGGAAGCTCTCCACTCACAGAGGAAGGGCATGAAGCAAAAAAACCAAAGCCCCCAAACCCAGAAGCTTCCTCTGCTATGATGATCGCTGCCGCAAAGGGCGCTTGACCCTGGACATACAGGGAGAACATATTCTCAGTATTTTAAAAATGAGTACACAGCCTTTTTCTTTTTAAAATTTATTTTATTTTCCTACACAGATCCTGGAAAACTTCATTGTGGACTTCTTCAGCATTAAGCAATCACTACTTTGGGAACTGAGCCCGCGGCTATCTCTGTCCTAGATCCTTACCTCACGTCACCCTGCACCAAGCCCTTCTTCTCACCGCTGCCTTCCCCGCTCTTGGCGCACCAAGGAGGGAACCGGGGTTCGCTCCCCCTGTCCTGCCCTCCCCAGGCACCACCCAGCCCCAGCCCTCGTTCCTTCCCTTTTCCACCCCAGGTGCACGCCTGCCACAGGTGTGCAGAACGTGGGAGCACCGGGCACCGGGTTTTGCAATACCTCCTCAGAGGACTGGTTCTGCTTCTCTCCGCCCCGGGCGAGAACAGCTGCCACAGTGGGCGAGGTAAGGGCAGCATCACTAATTCTTTGAGCTAACATTTCACTCACCAAAGAAAAGCCCATTTTGTGGAGAAGGAAGCAAAAGCCCAGGCTTGTTAGAAGACAAGCAGGCTATTGGTCTCAAGTTAAAACCACGCAGCACTACCCTAATGCAAGTGCAAATAGTGGCCCTGCTTGAACTCAGGGCTGGGAGGTGGCTACCAAGGTCTCAGTCTTCTTTCTGCACCATCTTTGCTCTCCCGACTCCTCTCTGGGGTGTGTCCCTCAGACAGAAGACCTGAAAGCAATGTCAGAATCTCAGAAGGCCAGGAGGTCTGAGCAGCTGTCGGGTGCAGGTCCTCAGGGATTAGCAGTGAATGCTCTCCGCCTTGACAACACCTCCCCTCAGATTTCCGCCCTCTGCATGTACCAAGTGGCTCCCACCTCCAGGGGCAGGCCCTAGCTTTTGCCCACTATACTGCCCTCCTCCCTGGCCACTTTCCCACTGACTGTTTGGCTCCCATTCACAGTGTGTCTTATCTTCAGGACTCCACCTTTTAAAAATATCGTAAGACTGTGTATCTGAAATACAGGACAACTGTGCACACACACAGATACGTGCATATACACACAGATGTACACACACATCCACAAGACACTCATGTACACACATACAGACACACAGAGACATACAAAGACACACATATATACCCACATACACACAGACATACACAGCATACACACAGAGACATAGCCAGACACAGAGACACAGGCAAACACAGACACTTGGGCATATACAGACACAATACACACACAGAGACACACTCCTCTTTCCCACTTGGGGTTCCAGCACAGCAGGCTGTTGTGGAGCTCATTTCCCTCTTGGTGCACCCACAGGTGGTACTGCCCATCCCGGACTCAAGCTCGGGCCTGGTCCTCACGCAACATCTCAGGAAAACTCTACGGCCAAAGACAAATGTTTCCTCCACTCCCCTCTGCCCGGTACCACCACTCACCTCTCCTCTTCCTTGGACATTAGGGGAGGTAAGAGGTCAGCTGTGAGGACCACTCAACCAGCACTTGCCACCAGGACCAGTGAAAGGGATTGAGGCTTGAAACGATCCTAAACGCACTATCTGGTGGCTCCTGAAATTTTGGCTTTCCAATCAAACACGACGCACGTACTGGGCTTTGCATTCCTTTTATTTAGATCATCACAACAGCCCTGTGAGGTAGGGAACGCCCATTACACTGTAGGAAAAGGAGGAGGGACCAGACCAAAGAGGCTTCCTTTCACCCAGGGAATCAGTAGGCAGAGAGGGGCTCTTTAGCAGCCCCAGACCACCCATCTTCCAGGCCCCAGAGAACAAAGTCTTCCTCATCCATGAGGTAACTTCCTATCCACCAATCTAGAATTTCCACTGATAGCCCCACCACAAAAGCAAGGTCCCTGAGGAGGCCCCGGAACCTGCAGCCCAGTCAGGCAGACAGGGACAGGGTAAAGCCTCACTTCTGGCTGATGATCCGCATGAACTCCTCATAGTTCACCTTCCCATCCTTGTCCACATCCGCCAGCTGGATCATGGCGTCCAGCTCGTCCTGAGAGAGATGCTCCCCCAGCTTGGCCATGGTCTGTTTGAGCTCTTCCACACTGATGTGGCCGTCACCATTCACGTCAAAGGCATGGAAGGCGGCCCGCATCTCCTCATTGCCCAGGGACTTCATCTGCGTTTTCATCACATCCAGGAACTCCTCAAAGCTGATGCTACCGTCACCGTCCTTGTCCACAGCCTGCATGACTAGTTCCAGCTCTTCCTCTGAGACCTTTTTGCCCAGCTTCTTCACCAACTCACGCAGCTCTTGGATGCTGATCTTTCCATCTTTATTCAAGTCAGCCTTGTCAAAGGCTGCCTTGAATGAGGCCACCTGCTCTTGAGACAGCTCCTTGGCCATGCCTGTGTCTCTGGAACCTCGTGAAGCTTCTGAGGTTGCTGCCAAACAGGTGTCAACCTGCCGTTCCCAGGGCGTGTGGTCCAGAGCTCAAGGAGGCCACCGAGATCTGCAGCAGCATCTGTCTGAGGGCAGACATATAAGGCAGTCTTGCTCGGTAGGGGAACCCCCTCCTTTTCTGCAATTAGTGCAAAGGGAGGAGGAAGGCTCCCCACCCTTCATCTGTCCTCAGGCAAGATCCTCCTCCCAGGGAGGGACACACCAGCTGCAGACAAGAAATGCAAGAACTGGAGTGGGAGGGCCTACAGGAAGAGTCTGAGGTGACTGCCACGGGGGCAATGGGATCATAGACCTAACAACCTCTCCTGACCCTGAGGGCAGGTCACCCTACTGCAGGGACACTGGTCCAGGGTACAGGTCCCCTGCAGCTTGTTCTCACAGACATCCTGACCAAGCCCATGGCTTTAAGGAGCTGCACCGACTCTGCATGACTGAGGCTAGAAAGGGGCCGGGGTAAGGGTATGCATCCCTGAGGAGTGCGAGCTGCATTTGCTATTTCCTGGCTCCTTCCTGCTCTTTCCCTGAGGGTGGTGGAAGCAAGTGGCTGGAAGGGAGTCTTGACCGGAGGCAACCATGGGCTTTAGCAAATTCCCAGTTCAGAGAAGGCAACAGATTAGAGCACAAGATGGAGTTCACTTCACTTTGGGAACCCTTTAGCTTCCAGAAAGCAAGGAATCTGGATGCAGTCAGAGCCGTAGCTAGTGCTGAGATGCTATTTGTTTTTGGATTTTGGGCACTGGCACTCTACTTATCCCAGGTTGACCTCAAATTTGCCATTCTACCTCAGCTTCCAAAGTGCTGGGATTACAGACATGCTCCACTACAGGCATGATTTCAAATGCAAGGAAACGGCTTTTTATCCTCCACCTAGGATCCGCCCCCTCCAGCTCAGTGATTCTCACTATTCCGTTCTATAGCGGAGTCTGAGGTTGCCTGTGCTGATGGCCTTGGAGATGAGCAGCATGTGTTTCATTCATAGAGGAGAAAACCACTGAGGTTGGGGTCCTTCCTCAGAGTTGCCTGGATACTTGGAGGCAGTAAACGGTCATCAAAGGCCAGCCTGGAAGTTGTCGCGGGGCAGGAGGACGCAGAATGGGACTGCTAGGGTGAGAACTCGGCCTTCCTGTGGTTTTACTAAGCATCAGCCCTAAGCATGGTAACCTCTGTGGGAACTCCAAGGACCATCCATCTCATTTGCCTTCTGAATGAAACCCACCCCTGCCCACTGTCTGGAGCACAGGGTTTGGAACAAGAGTTCCGCCCTTGGGGGACTGGTGTCAAATCCATCCAGGACTAGAACCCATGCCTGTGAGGAGTCATTTGCCATGGAATCACCATGATGAATTTGTCAAGCAAATCTCCTCTTGATCTCCATAGATCCCCATCCTCTCCCTACCCAACCACTGCCTGTAGTAAAACAAAACAGCTCCTTTACTCTCCCCCACAAAAATGTACAAATTCCCCCTCTCTCTGGCTCAGCCAGTGAAACAGAATGAGCATTCTCATCCTCACCTCACTTCTGAGGTTCAGGAGGACCTAGATGTAAAGAGAAATATCCCACTTATCTAACTCTTTTTACAAAAGCATCAGGATGAAGGATGATTATCTCATCTTTGTTCTGGAATAGTACAGAGGCCTGAATAAATATTAAATAACCAATTTCCCAATGAAACTGAAAACCAGTATTGGGTGGAGAGTGTCATTCCAGTCTGGTGATCGGAACCCTGCTCTGTAAGAGCCACAGGAAGGGTGGAACTCTTAATAACTAGATGCGACCCAGCTCCTTTATTTATTTTTAAAAGAATATTTGAAAATAGCAATCTGTATTTGAAATTTGCTTTTCTTCTTGTTTCTAATCACCAGGGCCTGTGATTAAAATCCAAATGTGCAGTAAGTATTGTCTTCTTATTTTCCTGGGTATTGAATAATGATTTGAAACCATGTCAGGAGTCTCGAGTTCCTGGTTCCCAGTTCCTGTTCCATCCCTGATGTAGTACAATATGTCTCAACATCTACACTATTAATTAGGATGATACATTCACCATATCTAACAAGATTACTTAGGATCAAAGTGTAAAGTCCACGACCAACAGAAGATATTGTTATTCAATGATCAACTTCATGTTCTAGGATAAGCTTGTTCTCATTTGATGTAAACCTCAAGAAGCGATCTACTTAAAGGTCACAGTTTTCTTATTACAGTTTTCTTGGTTGGACTGAAAAATGAGGTTGGTCCACTTTTAAATTGTAGATGAATCCAGCAGATCAACGCTCTGAATGTTAGTGTGGCTTTTGACACTGGCTTTTACCAGTGCCATTCCATACACAGTGAGACCTCCTTTAGAAAAGCATCTAGTTCGGTCCCACCATGGGATAGGAAGGTGATAATTTTTAGGTGATTCTTGTATTACAGAGAAAGAAAGCGAGTCTCCAGAAAGTCTCTAAGGCCTCTGACTGCCTCTCCATCCTCTACTGCATGGGGGTCCTGCTTCTTCTCCAAGGCCATGCTTGCTTTTTCCAGGGCATTCCTAGACCCTGAAGTAGTTTCTTGTCTCTTTTCACCAGGCCTCCCGATCTCCAAGGGTGGTAGTCTCTTTCCCTTCCTCTTTGAGTCAGAACCAGGGATAGCCATGCACAAGTGACCCACAGTACAGGGGCTTGACACAGTCAGACGAGGAGTTAGGAAAGGTGATAACTTGACATTAGTTGCCAAAACCTAGTTAAGCTTCGTTGTCTAATGGTATAACGCACAACCCCCTGGGTGCAGAGTCCAGCCTAGAGCATGGCTGTTGCAGTTGTCTTTCTGGCTGAAGTGCAGTTTCAGGCTGTACCACTCCTGAGGATACCTGTGTAATCAAAGAAACAAGGGATGGTATTTATCCCATGAGGAGCCCAAGGCTGGGGGCCCGCCACTCGCTCCTGTCCACACATTCATTCCCTTGGGGCCGCTTGAGAGGCACACCCGGAGCAGATTAGTTACAGCGGGGAAGAAGGGGTCCCATTCATCCTCAGCGACGGCAGCCGTGCCTCTGGGCAGTATGTGAGGGACACAGGGAGGTGCAAGGGTTATGAAGAGCTCAGGCTGAGTAGCAGAGGCTGGAGTTTATTGCTAAGATGGAGAAAGGAGAGAGAGCTGCGGTTAGCAGGGGAGAGGAGATCGGGTTTGTAGGGTGCAGACACTCCTCCCAGGACATGTGCCCTCCTTTCCGCCTTTCCGCTTACTACCTTCATGAGGATACAGACTCTTCCCAGGAGAACAATTACAGACCTGGGGGAGAAAACGTCTCCTCATTACGGAGAGAGGAAGACCCTCCCTAAGTGGCAGAGGAAGGAGAAAGACCTCTCCCAGGCTGCTGGACCCGTCCCTGAGGGTAGGAGGGGAGAGGGTGCAGCCATAGCACCAAATTGCCATGTATGATAGCTTTGTGTGCATATGTGTGTGCTTATCTCATATACGTGTGTTTGTGTATGCATGTGTGTAGGTGTATACCCATGTGTGTGCATGTCTATTTGTGTGTGCATACATATCTGTATGTGTATATGTATTGGTATTTGTGTGCCATGTGTTTGTGGGTACATCATATGGGCTTGCTGTGTGTATGTGTGCATGCAATGGACATGCGTGTTCACACGTGTGGCTGTGTGCACTGTGTCGGAAGAGGTGGGGGGTGGTTGTCTTTCTGTTCAGGCATTTAGAAGGAATGGCTAAAGCCAACTTCGCTGTCACATGAGCTTGACCCCTGGAAACAAGATACACACTCCAAAGCTCCCATTAGTGTTTGGCTGATGTGGGTGAAACACTCCTAAGAAACCAGTCAAACAGGTCCTGGAGCCCAGGCCAGCTTGGGACTCCTTCAGCTCAGATGACTTACAGGAACCTGATTTCACCCTGGCACCTGAGCCTTCTCCATGGTGTTGGTGTGGCCTGGCTCCCTGGGGGAAAAGAAGAAGGGGTGTGTGTGGAGCCACTGTGTCTCTCTGCAATGTGATCCACGGGGGAGAACTGGGACCAGCTTCACAAGCTCATTGGTCTCCAAGATTTTCCCCCAAAATCTTGGAGTAGAAATGGTGAGGAGTAGAAAGGGTGAGCCACTATGCCGCCTTCACAGAGGGCGGGCTCCCAGCTGCCTGTCCCGTGTCCCCCTCGACACAGCTCCCTGTTCTCTCTATGGCAGTGACATGGGGTGCAGTAGCTGGAATCAGACAGTTGTAGGACGAGTCCTGGCTGTTACATTTTCCTACCTATGCAACCTTCAGCAAGCGGCTTCCCCAGGTGTTAGTGGCCTATATTGTGAAAGGCGATTTACTATTAGACCCAGTCATTTCAAGGGTGAAAGCGGCTCAAGGAAAGTTTAGATCAGAGCCTGGCTGCAGGGAGCCCTTGGTGAGTCAGAGCTCGCACTAACCCACCCCATCACCCTGTACCAGCTCCCTGTGATGTCCCAGTCAGGTGTCCATCCCCTGTAAGCATCCCTGCCCCTTGCCGAAGGATAAGTACTCTCACAGTGGCCCATCTGGCCATTTCAAGTCCCCAGAAAGCCTGAAGCAGAGTCAAGGAGCACTGATTTCATCTACGCCACGCACACCACCTGCCGGACTCCAGAGGCAGGCTCCCCCAGTGCCTGACCCTTGGTTGTGCTCCATACGCATCCAGCAAATTGGGTGAATGGACATAACTGACAGGAAGTTATCATGTGGTGAGGACTCCTAACTTGGAGAGCACTGTTCCCGTGTAGATCTCGATGCAATCAACAAAAGGGTTCCTTGGGAAAAGAGCAGAGGCCCTGCTCCCATGGAGATTATTGTGTCTGTGTGTTTTGAGGTAAGGACAGGCCTTGAGGCTGGCGAGAGCTGCTATTTACTCAATGCCTGCAGTCTGCCCAGACTTGTTGGCGTAGTTGGCAAGAGTAATCTTTCCCGCTCTTAGCCAGCATGGACACACCTGTGTGTGTCAGATTCGGGGCCTGTTCATCCGTCCTCTACTCGTGTAAGACTTTCCATGGGAGTGTTCTGAGTGAGGAATTTCTCCAGATTCCTTATGCATTTATCCATAAATGGGCTATATAGTCCATTCCCCATCATTTAAAACAAATTAGGCGGCAGATGCTTCCAGCGGTGAGAGGTGAACAGTGTGACCCTCGGTGCTGTCACCCTGTAGCCCTGTGCACAGACTTACCCGGGGTGTGAGGCCACGTCTGGAGCAGTCTGGATCTGCCTCAGTCCACCAGGCGATCCTTCCCACCTGCTGCCTGCAGGCGCTGTCACTCTCCCCGGAGTCGTCTGCCGGCGTGCCCTGTGCGCCTCTTTGTCTCACAGCTATTAGTGGCAGAACTTTGGGCAGAGCCGAGAGCTGCCAGGAAAAAAGAAATTAGCCAACTTTGTAAATCAGCAGCTTTCATCTAAAAGCCATAATAAATCAAATGTTCGAGGGCAGTGCTCAAAGCTTCCAGTAAGTAAGTTTTGGATTCAGAAGCAGGGAGACTGCCATGAGCCCGAGCACTGGATAAATCCAGGGACTAGCACTATTCTACTAGTTGCTGTGACTCGTATACAAAACTACATTGGGGGAACTGAGATCTAAATAAACACAAATAGATGGATATGAGCTAGGAACATGTTTAAACAGTCCTGTGAGCCCCAGAGCTACAAAAGAAAGTTTATCATAATGTATCTATATCTATAGGTATATAGATATAGATATATAGATATATGATAATCTCTCCTCATCTGTGGGTTCTAGATTCACAAATTCAACTAATTGCAGACAGAAAATGTTCTTTAAAGAATTGCATTTGTACTGATCGTGTACAGTTATTTTCTTGTCATTATTCTATATAATGACATAATATATAGGATAACAACTATTTACATAACATTTACATTGTATTAGATGTTTTAAGTAGATTGTACAAAAGAATGTATGTTATAAGTAAGTATTGATAGGAGGGGCTTAAGCATCCACAGATTTTGGTCTTTTTTTTCCTTTTTTTGCTTTTTTGAGACAAGGTCTCACCATGTAGTCCAGGCTGACCTTCAACTCATGGCAATCTTCCCTGCTTCAGCCTCTTAAATACTGGGATTACAGGCACGCTTCACCATGCCTGGCTAGATTTTGCCATCTTGAGGTGGGGGATCCTGGATGAATCCTCGAGGGATATCAAGCAATGATTGCAGAAAAAACCTGAAACTTTTACGTAAGCAGCAAAGAAAGACTAAAAAGAAAGAAAAATGATAGATCTGAAGGAAAATGACAAATCATGAAAGATTTAATATACAAAGAGAGCTCTTAAGCTGTCAAAACTAAAATAATTCAATAGAAAAATGGGTCAAGGATGGGAATAATAAGTTCACAGAAGAACAAATTCTAGTAGCTAACAACCAAATTAAAAGACGGTAAGGTTTGGTAGTACACAAGAAAAATTAAAATAATAATGGAATATCATTTTATGTCCAATTTGGTGGATAAAAATTGAATTAGCTGAAATACCTACTGCTGGAAAAGATATAGGGAAATTAATACCACCCTTCATTGCTGGGGGAAAGATCAAACGGGGCAGCTTTTTCTAAGTAGTCAGGCAGTATATCATATTAACACTAATAATGGGACTACATGAGCATGAACAAAAACTTAGGATGTGAGCATGAATTCAGAAAGTACCAATATACAGGAAAGGGAATGAACAAGATGAGATAGACTACGTAATATATATATTCTCAAAATATACAGTGAGTGTTTAAATCAAATATGTTACAGTGAAAGACATTTTACGGTTAGTCCCCCTCAGAGTCCTCCCCCTTGCTTCTCACACAATTATCCCATAACTCTTGCCACTTTCTGAAGCAGTTCCGGAAGTCTTCTTTCTCGGGTGTGTTTACAGGTGTTATTAAAAGTAAAACAAACAAACAAAGTGCATGTCATTGCGCAGTGTCATCCAGCAGAAAGGCAAGCTTGTGAAAACACTACAGTGCGCCCTCATCCACCTACTTCACTGGTCTGGCGCTGTGCACCTCTGGCTCTTCCCCAAAGGGAAACATTTTGAATCTATTCTTCAGGACTTTGGGACATCGAGGCTGCTACGACAGCACAACTAAAGACATACCAGTTATGTGTGTGTGTGTGTGTGTGTGTGTGGTGAGTGTAAATAAAATATTTTAAAAGGTCTTTGTTTTAAAGCACCTACCATTTTATAATGGTTCATTAATTTTTTTTCACAACCCCATGCCTCAGAAAGCTTTCATTTTTAAGAAAGAATGGAATCAAGAAAAGCATACCTGGTTGAACGAAACTAAAATTGTTGGTTTTCCATTCCAGGGGCCTTGCAAAAGAAAAGCATCTCATGCAAGAATTGAATTTCTCCTAAATGCATCCAACAGCTTTGCTTGAGAAGTCAGGGTGGGCTGGACCTTCTTGGGAGGGTTAAGACCAACCAGACAGGAAGGTTGGGGAAAATGGCTCCAGGCTCCAATACCATGTGAGCCCCCTAGCAAGGTTTCAGCAGCAGTCTTTTGTTCCCTTTATTTTAATGATACACAAGAAACCATCTTTTCATCTTCTCAAAGTTGCTGCAACATGATAAAATGTTGATTTTTTTTTTCAAGTTTCAAATTTTGTGCCTTTTAAAACCTCTCCTGGGAAACACGGAGAATATGATGGCAGTTTCATCAATGTTGGGTAAATAAATACGCTCACTTGTGGGGAAATTCTTGGTCTGTTGAAGGAGCAAAGCACAGAATGTCCGGGGTTTACACGGGAATGTGGGAAGCTGTCTGACTCTTCGGTCCCAGAGTGGAGCATTTAAATCATAATATTATTTGTTACATTCCCTGGGACCTGGAATTCATGTACTTGACTTTCAGAAAACACAAGATTCTGTGTCTAACATGCCAACAGTGGTGAGGACAGGTTTCCTGGCTATGAACTAGGACCACATTAGCCTTCTCTAGCATCTGATTAGATGCAGTCCAGACTTCCTTGGGATGAGGCAGTGCGGCTGGAGCCGTGGGCTAAATTCTGGGGAAACAGTAGACCTCAGAGATAAGGCATTTTCCAAACAGTCCAAGTCAACAGTAGTGCAGGAAAATTAGGGAAGAGACAGAGATTATTTTCTTGATCCTCAATGTTGCCAACAGCAGAACTCATGGGACCTTCTGGAGGGGAAGCGTTTCCTATGGCCTCCTCCTCTGCCATTCCTAGGCCAACTGTGGTGGAAGATTCTTTTGATCTTCAGTTGTTTGGAGATCCGGAATGAAAATGCACCTTGCCCCCAGATGTGACAATAGTAGTTGGAAAAGGGAGAATGACAGGTGGTCAGGACTCTGTCTTGGGCTTCATAGGACTGGGTCCCTGAGAAAGTCTCTTGCCCAGGAAGCAGAATAGCCCAGTTCGTAAGTTGGCCCTATGGCTTACTAGCTTTGGGCCTTTGGAGAAACAACAGTTCTCTGCGTGTTTGCTCTACCAACTGCAAAGGGGTTATTGGTCTCCTTACCATATGGGGCTGCCGTGGGAAGTAAACGGAAAAGGGCTTGTGGAGCAACCCGTACAAACGTTGGTTTGTTCCACAAGAGTTGACTTGACCATCTTCATGTTTAGTTCAAAATTCTTTAGATTCCTTCCTGCCAACAGAAGGTGAGGAGCTCTGGGACAGCTGAGCATTCAATAAATAAATGGTGACTCAGACCCAGAGTAGATCTGTTATCTCCTGGTCCTAGGCTCTTTATAACACAGACAGTGCAAAGCAAGGGGACAGTGACCCTTGGGTCAGGTATGAGAAAGATGTATGTGTGGTCAGGATAGAAAAGAGACAGAAAGTGTTTATAAGCATAGGAACTACAATAGAAATGGGGTTGGCCCAGACAATATTTCTTTTCCTGATGATACTTGTTAGTCTCTGTGCTTGTGCCTGGGGACCCTGGCCTGACAGAGGGCACTGCCTTCAACAAGTAGGAGCAGTGAGACCTAAGAGATTAGTGCCTTCTCCCTGCAGCCTGAGGACAGTTCAGGGCTTACCCTCCTGGGACCTCAGTGGAGCCATTGCTGCCCGCTACTCCTGGAGACTCCACTGCTTAGCCCCTCTCAGGAGGAGGCCCCTCCACATGGCTGCTCTAGGGGAGAGGTGGACCTGTAAAGTCGCTCTCGTGGAGTTCTGGAACTTTCCACAGCAAACCTGTTCTGCAGGATCCCAGCCCATTCAGCAGGGACTGCCATGCCCCATCCTTGAGAGACTCTGTGCCTGCCCCCTGGGGCACCCATGCCAGGGCAGGTCCAGGCACCACCAAGTTGGCATGGAGCTGTGCCCTGGGCAAGGCTATGTTTACAGGAGGGTAAAAGAAGTCGGGAAGCACCCTCCCCTTAAAGATTACTCTCTGAGGGAAGCCGAGAGACAGCAAGTGTGGGGTTGCAAGCAGGCCTGGCCACATGTTGAACGAAGCAGGGCCAAGACGTGTCCCAGCAGGAGGCTAACGAGCCCAGGCAGAGCCTGCGAGGTCCTGGGGTGCCGAGGGTGGGACTATCACCCCCTAAAACACCTGTTTCCTCCAGACTCAAGTCCTCCATCCCCTGCCATCTCTGCGCCTCTCGTCCCAGCATCACCCCCTCCCTGGCAATGCAACTGATGCCCAGCGCCCACCTCCTCAGCCTGTTCTCTGTCCCTTCTCTGTCTGTGCATCCAGATGCCAGTAGCTCCTGGAAGCAGCTGCACCCCCTCATGGGTTAGTCTTTCCCTCTTTCACCTGCAGCACTATGTACACGAGCTCACAGCCTTTATCACACCCTGTGGTGGAGTTTCTGTGCACCTGTCTGTGACCCTAGCCTAGCTTGAGACCAGGAAGCAGACCCTCTTCATCACCTGATAGGGTTGAATCCCCGTGTAAAGAATGCATGAAGGTGTCCGTGACCAATGGCCTGGGCGTTTTCTCTATAATCCTTTTAGTTAGTGAGGGCTGGTCTCTCACAGAGGCTGCTTTGAGGGGTCAAGTAAATTAGCTAAGTAACCCAACCCCATTCCCGATCAGGTGCACAGCAGACCCGCCCCTTCGCAGGCTACCTCAGCCTGGTGGAGGTTGGAGCACATGCACGCTGGAGCTGATACTGGGGCTCCAGACACAGCAGCAAGCAAAATGCACCCAGCAGATGGAGGCTCTTGGTTCCAGGTGAGAGTTCCCTGGTCTAAGCCAGTGTTCATTTCATGTGGACACGTTTAATGTCCATTTGTTGATGACCCTTTCCCTGCATTCCTGCAGCCAATCCCAGCACAGTAGGTATGGTTAACCACACTTCAGTGACTGAGAACCCGGAGCACAGAGAAAAGGTGCCGGCTTTGTGAAAGAGAAGCTGGAATTAAAATTGACTTACGTGCCACTTGTCACATGCAGGCGGCCTTATGAATGTGAGTACCTTTCCGTGTGTGTACAGCTCCTGTTCCCAGCCAGAGGTCTGGCAGCTCTTTGGCCCCCTGCCCCACTCACCCCTTTGTGTTCCCAGAGTTGATCACCACTGCCTTGGGTTTTACACCAACTTCCAAACATTTTAAGCCTTTTCCACAAAATTTTTCTCAGGTTTTTCCTAGATCTCTCTCCTGTAGGCAAGCTAATCGTAAAAGACATTTATGCTTCTGCATTTTTATCCACCACTAAAATTTTCCCAACTGTTATGTATTACTTTTTTACAAATCCTAAAGTCTCTGACTTTCTCTTTTCCTTCTCTTTTTTCTTTTCTGTGGTAAGCTCTACACCCGTGTCCCTTCCCTTAACTCGGTTACATTTTCAGAAACATTCCTGCTGCCGCTGGCCCGGAGACTCCGAAGTCTCACTGGTGTGGCTGCTTGTGGTCTGCTCTCTTCTTCCCATAGGATGAGGCTCTCAATGCCCTTTCGGGGCCTTCCTAGCTGCTTTTCCTGTCTTTCCCACAACTGTGTCCAGACAACTATGAGTTTCTCAGAAACGCCTTCCTGCTTCTCCTTTTGGGAAGATACTTTTCCCTGTTCTGGAACATGCTATCAGCTCTAACTAGCTCACGACAATGAAGTGACTATGGCATCTTTGCACTCTCTCCATTTGCTCCAGTTTTATCCTTTGCTCAAATATCCATACCAGGCTGACAACACCTGATTGCCTGGACTGGGTATAGCAACTTTGCTGCCGCTGCTGCCCCATTTACCTGAGAGGAAGGAGATGTTAATGTGCTCTATCTATGTGCCAGGTGCTGTGCTAGGGCTTGATGTATGACCTATCTTGTCTTCACCATTCATTCTTATTTTACAGATGAAGTGATTGGGGCTTAGCAGTGCCACGAAACAAGTTCATGGAAGAGCTGGGATTTGAACTTAGGTTGCCTTATGCTAGGACGCAGCGTTGCAGCACTCATTCATTGTCTGAGAACTTCAGCTTCATCTGTGAGCCCCCGAAGGCAGCCAAAACAGCTCTCAGGGATTTGCTAGGACTCAGCAGCAACTTGCCAGAGAGGCACAGCTTGCCATCAAAACTTAGTCACGCGCACCCCCGTGAAAAGGATTTAGCACAGCCCTGGCACAGGTCAGGGGGGTGCAGGTGGCTGTGGAGTAGTGGTAAGATTACAGGATACGTCCAGAGGAGGAGGCAGTGCAATCTCAGCTCTGCCTCCCACCCATTATGGGACTTTGGCACACATAACCATGTAGTCAGTGACTTAAAATTTAAATTCAGTCACCTGGTAAACGCACTTGGTACTCAGAAGGCTCTCAATGTATTTCTAGTCAACCCTTGGAGACAATTTCATCAAGAACTCTATTAACACAATGTCTTTTCAGCATCGCTTTGACTGGCCCATATTTATTTAAATTTACCATTGTCTTCTTATCTTCTGGAACATTCTGTGACAAACTACCTCCTGATTCTCCCTGCGCTTTTTCTCATCCTTAATAACTTCGCCTTTGATAGTTAAATACTTCTTGATTTGAGTTTTGATTTTTTCCCTTTATTTTTATTCCAATATCTTCACTTTTATTTTAATGTCTGTGTTCTTTGTTAAGCACTTGGAAGGAACGATTTGATTCTTAAATCTCATTAGCCTTACTTTCTTTAAGTACTTCCTGTATTTTTAAAAACCATATCTGAACCACATTCTGGCAGCTTGAAAAGAGATAAGAGCTCTTTTCTTTCCTTGATCTTCCCGCTCATTATTAAAGTGTAGTGACTTTAATTTGTGGTGGGAGTTTGCCCCTCCTGCCCCCGCCTCAACCTCCCCCATAAATGGGCTCGATTTTGTGCATATCACACGGTCAGAAAGGACAGATGTTGATGTTACATGTTACACACTCTTTTTTTCTCCTCCATAAATCGTGTGATTTATATGGGCCCATTTCCCTTTTCTGAGTACATTCCAAGCTGTCATCATTTACAGGAAAATAAGCTTTTTACAACTGGAGTCCACTAAATCAATTCTAAATATTTGGTTTCACTGCCATTGTTGTTCATTTCCTCCCACTATACTTTTCCCAGATATGCATGTAAAATTCCTTCTTAAAGAAAAATTCCTTCTTTACACATATGGGATTCATAGATTTGCAAGTCCCTATTTGTTTAATGAAAGGCAGGGTTGGGTGGGAGTGAGGCATGGAGCATAATTACTCAAACCCGGCCTTCCGCTGTCGTGCATCTTCCACGTCTGTCTCATGTGGAATTGGAATAAAAATGAGAGGGGAAATTCAAAGCCTAGATAAAGAGGAGCCAGGGTCTTCTCTCCCCCAGCCCGCCTTCTGATGAATAATGAATACATGGAAGGAAAGTACGTGATTAAAATAGAAAATTCTGACAACATTTTAAATTCTGTTTCTCCTGATCCGTTTTGCAAAACAAAATCCACTCTCTCTACTGATCTGAAACGCACACCAAGCTTTTCATCTGCAAGGATCCGGCCGCCTTATGGGTCTGGGCCATCTCAATCCAGTTTATGACAAGGTCTCCAAGAGAGGTTACCTCCTAGCACCGGTTCCCTGCTCTCCTCAGAGCAGCAGGGTATGGTTTCTTTTTTGTCCTCATTCAAGCCCGTATTTCCTCAGGACTCCCTCGAGCTCGGTATTGCAGTAGGCAAGGTAAGTAGCTTCTCTGAAAAGACTTTTTCTTCCCTTACTCCTTTTGTTCCCCCTACCCCCCATTTTTCTGGTGCCAGGAATTGAACTCAGGACCTCATGCTTGCCAGGCAGGCACTGCACCACTGAGCTAAGTCCCCGGCCCTGTCCTCCCTTCTTTCAACCAAATTCTTCAGCATGTTTTATCCCTGCCTCATCCACAAAGCTCTCTGTGCAGCTGAAGATTACCCATGGTGACTCTTAGCCAAACCGAAAAGGAAAAACCTCAGAGCTCAGCATCCCAGATTCCCTCGTTTCTTCCTCAGGTGCTAGGGCCTTAGTATGTCTTCACTGACTTCTTTTGGGCCACACCCATTGTCTGCCCATTGCACCTCCTGAGAAACTGCCACATTTCCTAGGGGTGTCTTTTCTATGAATCACCAAATTTGGCCTCTTCTCAGCATGCAGTGCTTAAGGTTGGGTGGGGCCCTTCTGGTCCCCTCTGTATTTCTTCACAGGTGAGATGAGAAGCTGTCTGCGCTCTTTGTTTTACAAATGAAGAAATCCGGCACATTGAAACAGCGAAAGAAACACGGGTACTGTGGGCTGAATTATGCCTCCCATAAAGTTCACGCTTCGAAGTTCTAACCCTGTCTGTGATGCTGTTGGGAGGTAAGTCCCTTCTGAAGCCGTTAAGGTGAGATGAAGTCAGGAGGTTGGGGCCCTAAAAGGTCATTTTTTCACATAAAAATGCATCTCTAGTATAAAGTAGTATTCTGAGAGTTCTCACTACGGTAGAGGCGCAGCTGCTCTTCGGAACCTCCTTATGTCTTAATGACCTACTGTGCTGCTGTGCCACGAAGCTCCTCCCAGGCCCATTTTATCAATGAGAACTCAGCCACAAGAGCTGCACCTTACCTGGTAGAGGTATTGCAGAGAACCTGACTGCTTGGCGGCGGGTGGGGAGGCCGGAGTTTGGACGGCCTTGGCCCTGCCCTTTACCTTCCCTTGCCCCTATGCATCTTTTGAAGGACCTCTGCAGAGTTCTAGGGTTTCAGAGAGTAAGGTTAGAACCAGGTGGGTAGCTGGGCATGATGGCACCCGCTTATAATCCCACTTATTTAGGAGGCTGTGGCAGACAAATCACAAGTTCAAGGTTGGCCTGGGAATCGTAGAGAGACCCCGTTTCAAAATAAAATGAAAGGGAGGGTGTGCATGGCTCCAGGTTCGATCTGCAGTACAACAAAGCAAACCCACAGGGGCTGGGGATTTAGCTCAGCGGCAAAGCGCCTGCCTGGCAAGCGCAAGGTCGTGAGTTCGGTTCCTGGTACCGGAGAAAAACCAAAAAAACAAACAAACAAACCAAAGCAAACCCACAAAAAAGCACTAGAGTAAGTGACTAGAGCGGGACATGGCAAAATGGAGGTTGTACTTCATCAAAGCCCTTTGTCTCCTTCAAATCCTTTGTCCAGGGGCTGAGTTCACGCCCCAACTTTCTCTACATGTTACACGCTTAACCAGCAGGCAACACGTGCTACATGAATGCTTGAGCTCCACATACATGCACACACATATGCACACCTTCTTATATTAAATGCTAGTGCTTTCATCACAATCATAAACTTCAAAGGTTCAGAACTTGGAACAAAATCTCTCCTTTTTAGTGAGCTCCATATGCTTCCGAGAAGATCAGCTTGTTCTCTTAGAGACAATGATCTCACCTTTGGTTATGGGGGCTTAAAGTACAGATGATTCCACTTAGTCGTCAAATGCATCTTGGCAGGAAGAGATTTTAGCTGGCAACCCGAGCTTCTCAGCAACATTACCTGATTTCATATTTTTGTCTGTCTTTTCTTTTCTTCAAAATGCCGAACAAAAAGTTTGCGAGGCCAGCACACAACACGAAGCCCTCCCAGGATCACCCACTTCTCTGCGCCCTGCCCTCACCTGCCTCTGCTCCTAATTCCCTCACTGCTGCCGTTCAGCCCCGACACCGGCAGGGACACTGAGTGAGTTCACGGTGAGCTAGCTACCCAGGCAAGCTCCAAACCCAGCATATTCCACAAGAAACAGCTCTTCCTGGGTAAGTAAGAACTCCACAAATAAGTTTTTACTTATTTGGCTGCTTTAGGTTATACTTATTACTAATCAGCTTTTGTTTGGCGTGATCATTTATTCCTGATTTAATTATACTTGCTCTTAGGAATCAAGCACAGGCAACTTTCATGCCCCTTAGACTGCCCTGTAACTCACTGACGTCAGAGCTGATCTCAGCAGTAGAAGCCGCTAAAGAACTCAATGTGCTGAGAAAACAGCCTTGGTGCAGGGTGGATCAGCTTGAGGGTGAGCTCGAAAACCAGCCTGCTAGAGAAGAGGTAGGCCTGATTGATGTGAGACACGCAACATCTGGACACAATTTGATTGCTTGGTTTCCACAGCACCTGGTGGGCTTCATGCTACAGCTAAGGCCTGGAATATACCCGCAAAGCTACCTCCGCCTACGGCCATGGAGAAGGCAGGAGGCCAGACAGGAGGCTCTGGGAAAGTCATTCTTTCCCAACTTCCTAAATGATGACTACTTATCAGATTTTAGCTCACCAATCACAGCTCTGTTCCAGAACAATGATCTCCTCCCTGGCCTTGAACTCCCTCTCAGTCCAGAGCCCAGCCCTATAGAATCTTGAAGATTCACATAAGACTTCATAAAAGTCAGCCAAAGATCTGGGTCATGGAGGGAATCTGGAACAGTCTTTCATAAGGTGGGACAGGAAGGCCAAGGATGTGTGGTTCCCACCGAAATTCCTGCTATCTGTTGAGAGAATCCTCTCCTAGCTGCAAGGATGACTGGGAAAGTGTGTGTGTGTGTGTGTGCTCTGATCAATGTATATTGGAACATAAAACAAGTAATATCTATTATCAGGTCAACCCTGGCCTTAGAAAACCTGAAGAATCAGAGATCTGTTCAACACCATGGACACAGCTTGGTGCTGTGCTATTTCTACAGAAGTCTGATCAGCTCTTTAGTAGCTCGTAATTGCTTCTTCTGTCTCTTTGTCTGAATCACTGTCCTTGGAGATATGATTGTGAAATGCAAGAATCCCAGATCAACAACATAAGCCATGCACTCCCTGCATATTCAAGCATGTCCGGTCATTTCTGAAAGATGGAAAGTCATTGATAAACATTTCTGATACTAAAACCAAAGACCTGAAAGTGTCTCCAGAGCACAGGTAAGGTGAGAAGACAGCCCAAGATAAATAGTAGGCAAGGAGATTATTTGTGGTTATTTGTGAGATTATTTGTGTGGTTGATTATTTCTTAGCTGATTCTACAGTCACTTGAGGAGTGCCCCTCCCTCTGTAGTAAACTCTGAGGTCCTGACAAAGAGCCACTGGTTGTGCCTCAGTGGGACCACTCCCCAGGACCTGCTTCCCATCCTCTATGCTGAATCTCCCAAATCACCTCTTCATCTAGTTCCTCCAGATGGACACTGGTTGTACTATCGGCCTAATTTCAAATTCAACTTTATGCCTGGATTCTTTTTCTAGTCGTCTTCACGGATTCGTTACTAAGACAGAAGTTTCACCTCAGCCTTAGATCTGTCAGCACTTATCATTTCAATTATCCCTGACCTCTCTGAGCAACTCCTGGGTGGAGACCATAATGAGAAGGCAGATAAAAGTGTCAAAAGAGCAGAGGTTATAAAAGAAGTTGTGAGGTAAGTTCAGGCTTCAGGAGGCCTAGACAGCGTAAGTAGTGTACACTGTGGGAGAAGGGAACTTTCTTGTACCTTTACAGAGACCTGAAACAGGAGAAGCCCGCTGGCAGACGTCTACAGGTGTGAGGCATCAGCAGCTGCTCCCAAGGACCAACAGAGAGGACATTAACCCCAAGGAACCACATAGCAAACTGCAGAAGAGTCAGGGAAGAAATAACCAGTAACACAAGGTGACTAAAAAAGGTACTTGTGCAAAACAATTTAAGGCATACCATCAAATTTTTTGCACTATAACCGGAAGGAAAGAAAAAGTTCGAGTAATTCTTCCCAGGCAGGTAGAGCAGAAGATGCTCTTTTATGACAAGACCCTCCTGTCTTATTCAGTCGGCATATACTGGTTGGTGCCAGGACTCTGTATTAGAGGGTGTGACAGAAAAAGAAGTAAAAAACAGCATTACCTTTTATGAAATTTAGATGGGAAGAAAAAAAAAATAAGCAAGTAAACAAAGAAATGAGTAAGGCACAGTTCAGAGTGATGAGCTATGAAGAAAGTAAAAGGGGAATGAAGTAAGTGTTGGGGTGGAAAATGAGGGTCAGTTTACAGTAAGTGGTTAGGAAAGTTCTCACATGGAAGTGACGTGATTTTCAACTGCTGTGACGTGGAGCCACTAGAACACTAGGGGTAAAATGCCGGGGCGGAAGGAGCAGATCATGCAGATACTGAATAGCAAATCAGGGTGGAAGTGTCCAAGGAGCAGAAAGTAGGCTGGTGTCCGGAGCATAGTGATGGAGGCTGGTGATGAGACAACAACAAGGGAGATAGGAAAGGAAGGCAAGATGGCTACCATAGGGATTTTACTTGAAATCCAAAGCGATGCAATTACAGTGTTTTGAGCAGGAAATGGCATGCACTGGATGATGAACAACAAAGGAGGACCAGTTATGAGGTTATTGGATCATTCTACCCAGCGATGATGACGGTGGCATGGTGCAGTGGAGGCATCCAGATACATTTTCAACATAGAGCTGAGTGACCACGTCTGAAGTACAAGAGGAAAAGAGGAATTCAACATGACTACATTTTGCTCTGAACAGTTGAGTGATTTGAGTGTTTTTTTGTTTTTGTTTTTGTTTTTGTTTTTATTTTTATTTTTTGAAGAGATAGGAAGAATGGGGAGGAAACAGTTTGGTAGGGCAAGAAAACCAAGAATTTCCCTGGGTCACATTGACTTGGAGATGCTGACTAAGCACACAGGGTAGGTATTAAGTTGGCAAGTGGATACGTGAGGAGCTTGGTGGAAAAGGTAAGACAAAGACATGATTGGCCAACGTGCATGTCTCCATACTTTCCTGCACTGAGGCCTCCTGTACTGGTCAGTCACTTTTGCAGCTATAGGAGAAAAAGGTTGAAGACTGAGTTGGTGATGACAATAAATAGGACAGAATGCCAGCTGAGGGTATGGGAATCAGAGGATCTAGATTCCAGTCCAAGCTTTCAACTTGCTAGTCACCTCACCCTGACTCCTACGCATATGCCATCTGAAACACAGAGATATAAGAAAATAGATGAGGGTAATTGTTCCATGGCTATTAATTGAACCCATATATACTAACTTTGTATTTATATTGGAGAGCAAAGGATGTGCTTGAGCAAGTATTAGCCTAGTGGGTGACCTGTCAGGAGAAGAAAAGGAGCATCCCACGGCCACCTGCAGGCACACCCGTCCTAGCAGGGCCTCAGGAATGGAACCGGCCAGAGAAGATGGGAGAATCCTGCTCCATATCTCTTTCTACAGCACCTAGAGGGAGAGGCACAATCACACACATACTTAACAAATTCTTTTTAATAAAAGCTATTTATAACTCCAGTTCAGACAAATGCAGTAAAATACCACAAGTCTCTTGTGTTTAGGGTTTCTTGTCTTCAAAGGAAGGAACGCATGTGGGTTCCTTTAATGTGTATCTATATGGTCTTCGTTAGTTTCGTACTCTGTAAGGCCAACATTGTCCTACATGATTCCAGAGTCTGCGGCACCTCACACCGCCAGGATTTTGGAGGATTTGACATCCAGTTCAGATCCCTGCTGCCCAGCACTCCAAGGCAGTTGTCTCCAATGTATCCATGGATCTTTTGGGGAGCAGGGTATCTCAAGACCCTTTCAGAGGACCTGGAAGGTTATTTTCATAAAATACCGGTGGGTTTTTGTGTTTTGTCTTTCTCACAGTGCTGACATTTGCATAAAGGTCAAAAGCAGAGGCAACTGTGAGCTCCTTGGCCTGAACCAAGGCTCCTTTACAGTTAGTCCTTGCATTCATCATGGCCGTCATGTCTCATTAGAAAAAAGCCAGATTCACTGAAAATGCCCTTAGAGAAGCAGTAAAGGTATTAATTTTATTAAATTTCCATCTTAGGGTGCACAGCATTATTATTTTGGGGAATATTAAAGCACGATGGTTGTCACGAGGAAAGCACATGTCTGATTAATTCCAGGAGTGGCAAGGCAAACTTTTCCATAGAATACTACTTTCGTCAGAAATAACAGCTGACAGACACACCGTGGACACTCAGCTGTAACACTTGGCAGATGGTTTCCCAAAAATGGATAAAGTGAGTCTGTCAGTTCACAGAAGACAACAGTTTGTTGTCAACAATAAAATTTGAGACTCCAAATGAAAATTGGAATTTTGGAAGTTTTGCATTTGACACGGTGGACTTTCAGTTTTCCAACACCGTAAGATTTACCTAGTCAGGCGTGGTGGCACATGCCTGTAATCCCAGCACTTGAGAGACTAAGGCAGGGAGATTATCTCAAGTTCAAGGCCAGCCTGAACTACATAGTGAGAGCCCGTCTCAAAATAAATTTTTTTCCAGTGGGATTGGTGGTAATGTGATTGAAAAATGAAATCCGAATAAAAGAATCTGATTTTTTAATGTTACATATGTAAGGGTTCAACATTTGTTTTGTTTTTTTTTTTTTTTTTTTGGTTTTTCTCCGGTACCGGGAACCGAACTCACGACCTTGCACTTGCCAGGCAGAGGGTTCAACATTTGGAAAATCTGCAGAGCTAGTGAACTGATATTTTCTAAGTGACCATCGCATGGCATTACCTAATTACATTTGGATAAAAGATCCATTCAAAGTGCAAAACAGACCAATGGACTTCAGTGGGACAGTATGAAAAGTTAATTGATATGCTCACCAATTCAGATACAACTAGCATCCGAGTAACTATGGCTTGTCAAACTCTGATGTAACATCAAAGAAGACTATCCACAATTTTCTTTCAAAACCACTGAAATGCTCCCTTTTTCCCAACTGTGTCTGTGTGAACTTGGATAATATATACTTCAAAAAGCATTTTGCCACAGATTGGAAGCAGATGAACATATGCTTCCATAAAGTCAGACATAAAAGGGATTTGCAGAGCTGCTTTTTAAAATGCCAGTCTTCTCTCTGTTCTTCATCTTGAAGAATGCATTTTTTTAAAAAAAGTTGTTTATGTGAGCAAGTAATGTATTTTTTAAAAATTTCTGGAGGTGGTGTTCCAGGAATTGAACCCAGGGGCCCTCTAACACTGAGCTATATGTCCGGCCCTTTTCAATTTTTATTTTGAGATAGGATCTTACTGAAGTGTCCAGGTGGGCCTCAGATTTGCAGTCTGCCCTGCCTCAGCCTCCTGAGCAGCTGGAATTACACTGCACTCAGCTTTACTTCTAAAGTTCTAAATATATCATCATATTTAAATATTTAACTATTTCAACATATTTAACTTTTAAATGGATCCTCAGAGCCCATACACACCCACCCAAAATGTGTGTGTGTGTGTGTGTGTGTGTGTGTGTGTGTGTGTGTGTGTTCATGCTGCAGGGAAGGGAACCATGTATGGGGTGAGAGGCAGCAGGGAGAGAATTAAGCCAGGAAATTAGAAACATCCCCTCTACCATAGTTTCTCAACTTGTGAATTGCAGCAATCTAGGCATCACAAGGCAGGCCTTTGTGAGTCATGCCTGCTAACCCTGCTTAATGTCCTTACTGAGTTCTTCAATGTGGCTTTTTGAAAAACACATTAGCAGAAGCTGGCATTTGAACCAGAGCCACACCCCAGAACCCACCAGTGCCGGGGCGCCTCTTCCCCTGGTTCTAGGTAAAGTGGGCCGGAGGCGTGGATAGAGTCCTGACCAGCCGTGAGTCCTCGCCCATCATGGGACTGACCCAGCCACAGGGTTTCTGCTATGCCGGCCCCTGCTCTGGGCAGCTTGCTGGCCATTTGCCCATGGGAAGCCGGTTCTCCTGCCTCCTGCTATGGCCCTTGTATTACTTCAAGAAGTTGCTTCTCCAGCAACAAGGAGAGAACATAGGAGAAAAAAAAATGTTACCCTCCGATCCCAGAACACTTTTCCAAGGCTGCATACGGCCTCCCCATCACTGGATCCTGCTGTCCCGGTGCTTATACCCCTCTCTTCTCAGGAAAAGATTCAAGTTGTGGGGGATTCTTCAACCTCGCTGATTCTCCCAAGCAAAAATCTTCCTTCTTCTTCCCCGCTCAACCAACAGGGTCTGGGCTTAGTGGGAACCTTCGTTCGGGTAACTTCTATTTTGTTCCCACCTAAAGTTTCCTCCAAACAAGGAAGAACAAGGTTGCTGTGCATGTGAATGAAGAAAGAAATGGTGTTATAAATAGCTGAGTGGGAAAAGGGAGGAAATTCAGAGTGAAAAAATTAATATTCAAGCTATTATCCTGCCACATTTTTTCCTCAGTAAACCCAGGTCCTTCTAAGCGCATTTACCCCCTCAAAGACCTCTGACCCTTATTCCTCCATATCCAACAAAAGAATAAAGGGTCGGCTCCACATTTCTGTCCAGTTTGAATTTTCCTGGATTCCCATTGAAAAAACAATCTTTTCTGCCTCTCAGAAGGTCCTTTCCCCAGGTCTCCTGGAGCTAGGAGATGAGTCCATGTGCCTGGTGAGCACCCAGGGGTCCTTCTTGAGCCCATGTCCTCTTGAAGATGCTCCTCTGTCCGGCTGTGTCTCCACTCCACCCAGGGCTTGGACATGCCCTTGCTGAACACTTCCAGGGTGCCCATGTGTGTGTCTGAGGATAGCGTGGGAGTCCCTCCTCAAGTCCTGCAAAGTCTGCATCGTTTGTCCTCCACATTGGTTCCCTTTCTGTCCCCCAGCCCCACCATCCCCTCCTCTCCTGCAGGGCCACCCTTGAATGCCTTTCTGCAGAGAGGCTGTCCTTGACAATGATAGAGGTGACCGTCCCATGTCTTCTCTGTCGTTACCTTTCATTCCCTTCACAGCACTTATCAAAAATCTCTAATGCCTTGTTTGGGTTTTTCTGTCCATTTACTCACTAACTCTCTGTATCACCACTGCAGTGCGACTTCAGGAGGACAGAGGTGGCCTGCTTGGAAGAGGACTGCCCATCACGGTCCCTCAATGAACCCGAGAACAAGTGACTGAGTGAGTGAAAGGGTTGGAGAGAGTCTTTTTCCATTTGTGTCTGTTCTGAAGATAAGAAAACACTGCTTTTACCCAGAGAAAAAGCCTTTGTCCTTCTCTGAAAACTGTCTGGGTCCCCAAAGCTTTGGAGACCGAGGCCGGGAAAGGATGCTCCTTTCAGCAAAGACAATTTCTATTTTTCATCCTGAAAAAAAAAAAAAAAAAAAAATTTCAGATGAAGAGGAAAATGGGGTGTTGGCTGGTTATTTTATTGAGTGAAGAGGAGATCGGGGGACAGGCAGAAGACTAGGGAAAAAAAGGGGCAAGGGCAAGGAGGGATCCCAGGTTGAGTTCTCTCAATGTTGATCCACACACCTAGACAGAAGATGTCACTGCCGGTGGCTCCCGCTGGCCCTGTGGGTGTCCGAGTGAAAACTGCCTGCCTTTCATATAGAGGGGCTGGCATCAGCTCAATCAGCAGGCTGCCCTGGTTGCTGCTCCTGGACGCCTGTCTAAACAGGACCTGGCCTTCCGGCAACCACAGGGGCGGGGGTGTCTGCGGATGGCAGCCCAATCCCGCCAGGCTGGAGGTGGGGGAGGACTCTGCTCCTTCTTAAGCTCCGGCAATTCAAGCCAGGGCTAGAAAGCCAGACAGACAGCCGCCCCTCAGACCTGCCCCTGTCCTTCCGCAGAAGAGCCCAGCCTGTCCCAGAGCTCAGAAGCAGACCCAGCCCGGACACCTCTACCACGCCACCCGCGCCCTGCCAGCATGGCCAACCAGCTGTCTGAGGAGCAAATCGCTGAGTTCAAGGAGGCCTTCTCTCTGTTTGACAAGGACGGCGATGGCTGCATCACCACCCAGGAGCTGGGCACTGTCATGCGGTCCCTGGGCCAGAATCCCACAGAGGCTGAGCTCCAGGGCATGGTGAATGAGATCGATCGGGATGGAAACGGCACGGTGGACTTCCCAGAGTTCCTGAGCATGATGGCCCGGAAGATGAAAGACACGGACAGCGAGGAGGAGATCCGGGAGGCCTTCCGCGTGTTCGACAAGGACGGCAACGGCTATGTGAGCGCTACCGAGTTGCGGCATGTGATGACCAGGCTGGGGGAGAAGCTGAGTGATGAGGAAGTGGAGGAGATGATCCGGACTGCAGACACGGACGGAGACGGGCAGGTGAACTATGAGGAGTTTGTCCGCATGCTGGTGTCCAAGTGAGGCTCGAGCGGGTCTGCTGTGCCCTTTCCACCTGGCTGGGCAGGGGCCGCCTTGTGCTACAACAAGAACCTCACTGGTTCTCTTCCATTCTCCTCAATGGTTTCTCCTCCATTCCCAGCTTCCTCGGGGTGCTGCTGTTTCTCCAGCAAAGTGGGTTCAAACCCACCTTTCTACATCTCACCTTTTGCATCTCTTTTTCTGCCACCTGCCCGCCTGCTCTTCTTGCATAACGCAGAACACTGTCACGCTGAGAAACTGTACCTCTTCCACGGTGCAGGGCTAGACCCGGGGGGAGCTGCCTCTGCACGGACAAAGGGCCAAAGGACCTGTAACGGCTTCACTTACTGCAGTACATCAGGACAGGTCCAGTGGCAGCTCAGAGCCTCTTGTGCAAGCACAGAACCGGGGGAAACGGAGGCCTCAGTGCCTGCCAGAATTCCTGGGGCTTCTCGGACCGAAGACTCCGCCTGCTGTCACATTTGAACGACATCTTGGCCTTGGAATGGGGGATGCTGATAAAAAGTGACCACTGAGGTCAGGCCAGCTAAAAATCATCTCTTCCTTCCACACAGCACTTGCTTGCTCCAGTCTGTCTTTGCTAAATCTCTGTGATTCATCTTTTGAAGCTGCGAGTAAAACTGGGGTCAGTTGTAACATGTTTGTATTCACGTAGGAGAGAAATCTGAATGAAAGGGAAAATGCAGGGAAATAAATGAGACACTGGCATTCTTATTTTGTCTCCTTGTTTCTGATTCTGACTGAAATGAACCTGTTAGATCCAGGGCATAAATCAGGGAGAGATCTGCATAGTTTTTGTGCTTTTTGAACATGCAATGAATTACTATATTGTTGGGTATAGTTAAAAAAGAGAGAGAGAGAGAGGTCTGTCTATGGTAAATCTTGCATATTTACTTGAGGATAATGAATATAGTGGGAACATAAAATAGCTAGAAATGCATGTAGATCTCCTAAAAAGCCTGTGCTGATCACAGTCGAGGAGCTCTGATGATTGATTTTATTTCTCCTATGTCTTCTCCAGGTGTTGTAAGATACACATTGGTTAGAAGACCATGAGAGGTCAGGGTGCTTACTGTGAGACATTCCTAGCACACCGTGGTGCAAAAGCAATCCAGAGATGGGCAGTCCTGTCCCCGCCTCCCAGATGTCGGGTCCCATCCAGAGGCTGAGGGACCTCACCATCCCCTTGTAGGGCAGCGTTTGTTCTTGGATTCTTTGTCTTGCAGATGAGGAAGCTGAGACCCAGGGAATGTAAGAATCAACCCGGAGTCCCACAGCTAGTGACTGAATGGCAGAGCTGGGGTTTGAATGCAAATCTGTGCCCTGACCATTCTGCTACCCAGCCACTCATGTCCTCTGTGCTTCCACCCTGATGATGATAATATTACCCCACCCCAGCATTTGCGAGGATTGCGAACAATATTCTTAACACACGTGGCATGCAGCACGTGCTTACCAAGTGACATCTACTATTACTATCACCACTAAGGATCCCTTCCAGCGCTAACACTCTGTGGCGTGCCAATAAACGTCTGCCCCCTACACAGCCTGAGGGACATAGATAGAGAGGGGACAGGAGCAGGCTGTCTCGTGCCATCTTGGTTGCTGAAGGGACACTTGAGTGTGGCATCTCAGGTAAGAACTGACCTTGCTACCAATTCTCTTACTGGGAGAGGTTCAGGCCTCGCTAGCTGAGCTAACCTCTTCTCCCCTGAGTTGGGGTTGGTTGGATGCCTCCTGGGACAAGCCCTTTAAGTGCTGGGACATAGCGTCCAGAGGACAGGAGGCAGCAGCTCTCTGGGATGGGTGGGACGAGCACAAGACCGAGACAGAGGTTTGGTGGTGAGTTCCAGAGCCACCTGCTGAAAGGAACATGACATCCCCTCCAGGGACAAACTTGGATCTCAGCGTCTTTCATAAGATATCTCCTAAATTGTGCAAGACTGAAAGGATGGAGGTTTCCCATGTTCTTTCTGCACACTGTAAAGAACCTGGCTAGAAGGTTGACACTGAATGCTCTTCTATTGAGGTATAGGCTGAACAAGCACTTGTAAGTATCTGGGCCAACTCCCTCTGCCAGTGCTTTACAAGAGGGTGGATGAAGGGGTTTTTTGTGTTTCCCTCCCAGCCTCCCAGCAGTTTAGTTGAAACAGATCCTTTTTATTATCTCCCACCCCACCCTCGAAGCACACATGCCTGCGTTGTACAGGCCTTAGGAGCCTTCATGCAGAACGCCTCCGTCTGGGTGGGAGCTAGCAGGGAGATGCAAAGGCCCCCACTTGCTCTCAGCCCAGAGCTGACGGGCCTCTGATCCTCCCAGTTGGCAGAGCCGTAATTAGCAGGGCTCCCTTTTTACTGCCGCGGGAACTAGGAAGCAGCAAGGTCTAGGCAGGACGCATGGTAAAGCTGAATGTGTGTCATCCCTCCCCTCGGTATTTTCTCCCCTGAGCACAGTGTTTAAGAAATCCTCCTTTCTCAGGGAAGCACAGCCATCTGGCCAAGTTGCATCCCTCCTGCTCAAGCCCGAGGCTCAGTCCCTTTCCCAGCAGGAGCCACCATAGTGACACCTTTCACCTAGGTGTGAGGGTCAACCTTTAAAGAAATTAACCTGGGCTTTCTCCTCTTTCCATTTTCCCTTTTCCCTCCTTTTCCCCTTCGTCCCCCTCCCAGGAATGCCAGGGCCGGAGGGAGGCACAGTTGGGCTGTTGCTCTGACTCCACCCCCCATTGACAGAGTCGAGACTCCTTGGGAGGTGGTTCTCCACTGGCCTCGCCAATGGGTACAAAACCCACAGAGTGTGTATCAAGCTCTCCCCAGGGCTGGCGGGACCGTGGACATCAGGAGTGGCAGCCTCAAACTCCTAAACTCTGACATAGTTTACCCAAGGCAGTGTATCCCGTCACACAATAGGCTTAGGATCCAGGGCTACCTGGGGCATTCACGTGCCGGCACTCAGACCCTCCCCCAACACACTGTATTTTCTATTCCTTTCTTCCTTCCAGCCCTGACCAGACCTCTAAAGATTCTGTCCTGTCCCCAGACACCAATACAGATATTATTTGCAAAATGCGGTCACTATCATTAGAGACGGGTTCTCGCCCACTGAATAAAGGCAGGAGGAGGTGAGGGAGGGGGACGGAGCCACCAAGAAGTCCCTGATGTTCAGGACACGGAGAGGAGCCAGCCTGTGCCCGCATCAGACTCAGGGGCACGCTTGTCCCGGACTGACATCTCCTTCCCCTTTCAGTCATTGAGTAACTAGATTTGAACAACCTCCTCTGAATCCCAAAAAGGTGTTGTCTGACTGCAGCTCTGCAAAACATTCCCTCCACCTTTGGGGGAAGGAATTTATAAATATTACCTCGGCTTTCATCGAGCTCCCTATAAATCAGGACTTGCGGCTCTTTTCCTCCCACGCTATAAAAAGCACGCCTCTGACTCTCAGGTTTCCAATTTTAAATCAAACATAGCCCAGCCCTGCTGGCTCCTCTTTATCCTTATAAAATCCAATGGCTTGTCCAACGGCTCCCAGAACCAGCCAGCTAAAAATGAGCCCATAGCTCCCACTGCAGAAATACAACAACAGAACTCACGTGTGGGGTGGGAATGACACATGCCACATGCCAAGTGAAGCACTGGGAATGCGAGCTGTGTTTCTCCACAAACGAGGCAAAATATAACAAGACAAAACCAAAAACTGTCTCGGAGAAGTTCTGGGCCCAACCCACATGCCATCCTTCCCATCATCCTGCTTTTCTGGTGGTTGTTTTTACAGCAACTGGTCTTCAGATCTAGAGTGGGCAGGTCTGGACTGGGCAAAGGAGCAGGGGCTGGCGCCACTGTGAAAAGTCTCCCCTGAGTCCCTCCCACCAGGTACAAGGCTGGGTGCTTGGTGCTAGATGGAATGGGGACCTTCCTCAATGGGCAGGGAATGGAAAATCTCGAAAAACACCTGAAACAATGGCAGGGTTTCCACAACCAGAAGAGAAAGTACAGATGGGAACAATTAATGACCTGTAAACACCTTCTTCGGGTCATTTGCTTCTTTCTAGGGCACTTAGAAACATCCATAAAAGGCAAGGAGGCAGGAACTCGGTACAGAAGAAGGGAGTCTATGTACTAGGTGGGCCAGGCTAACTTTCAGGCCCCTAGGACTGCCCACACGCCTGTGTGGGGAGCCCAGCATTCAGAAAGTGACGCTAGCAGGCCAGCCACATGTGGCCCTCCCAGCCCACAGGTGAAGTTCGTCTTCTAGAGTTGTCAGCTGAGCTTCTCTCCCCTAAAGCCCCTGTAAGACCTGACTGTGAATCTCCCATGGTAGAAGCAGAGTTCCCCCTCCCGAACACATCGTCATGACTTGATACATTTATCACAAGTGGCATTTACTTGTTTAATCTTCAAAACATGTTGACATAGTAGCTATTTTTATTGACCCATTTAAAGAAGAGAAGACTTTGACTTCAGGACTTTAAATAACCTCCTTAAGGTCATACATCAAGTATGTTAGAGTCTGGCCCTCCATCAGACTGGCTCCAAAGCTCACATCTTTGCCACTGTGCCAAAGAGAAGCTCTCAGAGCAACTAGCAGGGCCAATCTAACACAGGTTGTGAGCACTGACAGAGGGTCATCTGCTGAGATCTCGCCAGAAGTGGGGAGCAGCTGCCAGGAACCATATATCTAGGCAGGTAAGAACTAGAGAAAGAAAATCAGTGCCGGGACATGGTGCGGGTGGGTGCAGGACTAGTGCTGTCAAGCTGTCCCCTCCCCCACATCGGACTGCTCCTCTTGCTTGTTCCATTGACCAGGCGCAGGAAGTCATGCAGGAGCCTAGCTACTGACCTGTGGAAATGGAGAGATTCTGCAGGAGCTTGGGTCTTTGTGACAATAGATCCTGATCAACTCACAGTCCTGTAGAGGTGCACTCCCTGGACAAGATGGGGCATAAACCCTGGTCACTCACTGTGGTCAATCAGCTGAGAGGTACTGGGTTTCATCATTTCTGTAGCAGAAAGAGGACTCCACTTCCCACCCAAGCTCACATCACAAGGGTATAGATAATGGGTCACTGGAAAGACACATCTCATGTTATGGATTGAATGATGCCTCCCGAAAATGCATGTGGGAGATTCCTAATGACTAATACCACAGATACAACCGCATTGGAGATAGGGTCTTTACAGCACTAATCAAGTTAAAATGAGGCCATTAGAATGAGCTCTACTCTAACATGATAGGTATCTTATAACAAAGAGAAATTTTGACAAACACACACATACAGGGAAGAGAATGTGAAGGTACAAGGAGAAGATGGCACCCTATAATCTAAGGAGAAAGGCCTAGGACAGATTCCCCATCACAGTACTCAGAAGGAATCTACTCTGCCAACACCTTGATTTTGACTCCTAGCTTTAGAACTACAAGGTAATGCACTTCTGTTTTGTAAGCCACCCTGTCTATGCACTTTGTTACAGCAGCCCCAGCAAGCTAATGCACCACTCTAAGGGGAGGTTAGAGTTCAAAGCCTGTCTCCTCACTCCGACACCCAGAAAGGTGGCTGAGGACTTGGTCCAGAACTGTCCTTTTTTCCTGGTCTAGTTCTGCTTTTATACAAAGCACATGAGGAGTCACACTCTCTAGATTCTAGAGAAGATCCAAGGGTAAAAGAAGGAGGAAGGGAATAATCCCTGCTACACTGGGAAAATCTTCTGACAAATTCTGATGTGACTTCCCAGACTCTATACTTCCGGTTAGTATTCATAAGCCTGGCCCTGATAAGAACCAGCTTAGCAATCACGAAATAACTTGACCTCTCCCACCCTTATGACTTCCAAAGAAGTAAAGAGTCATTTAAATTGAAAGAACAACATACAGTGTGTAGCAGTTTGAGTGAGTTCATTTCTTCCTCACACAGAAATGTAACTCGGCGTTATTACCACAGGGCCTGAGGTTGGGTGAAATTCAGGCTGGGACAAAAATAAAGGTTTGAACACTCTTCAATTTAAATGGCATCATAAAGTTTATTTGACCTAGTTTTCCATCCAGGATGAAAAGGCAAAAGTTGGGTAATTTATATTTCAACAAATGTGACTATTGTGGGTCATTTGAGGCCAGTCATTCAATGGTTGGCTAGTTGTTATCTTAAGAAAGATTTTCCTTACATGGTTCTGAAATGTGATTTCACCTATTGGTCTCCTTCTTTCTACATTCTCTAGATAGAATCTAGAGCACCAGAAGAAAAAAAAAAAAAAAGAGTAACCCCTTCTCTAATTGCCAGTGCTCTGCATAGTTGTACATGGCATCATGCCGCCCCCTGTATCCTGTCCTGTCCAGGCTACATAGCACTCATTCTCTCCAGAGTTTCTTACGTGACACACACCCAGGTCCCTCACCACACTGGTAACTCGGCTCTTGACAGATGGCAGCTTTTCAAAATTTCTTGATGATGTGTGCCTGGCCTCCAGCACAGTAGGGTGACCAATACCAATGGCAGGGAGATGACACATCGCTGTTCTGAATACTGGACTTCTAAGAATAAAGCTAGTAATCCAATAGGCTTATGCTCAAATACTTTGCTGTTCATTCTATAAATACTGTTGCACACTCTACACATACGTGCCTAGATTTCAAGGAACACAAAGATGAATAAGGCTCACAAGAAGTGCAGAGAAGATCAGAAGGCATATGGTTATAAGGTACTGCATGAAGGCTGGAAAAGTGCGCAGGGAGCTTAGAGGAAGAGAGCCTGGCATCTGCTCCACATGCTGCAGGGGCAGAGTGGGTACATGGGAAGACTTCCGAGAGAGGTGACAAGATGATAAATCGACTTTTCAGTCTTACTGGTTTTCAGGCAATGGGATTTATACATGGAAACAGGAGGCTGGACCTAGGCTTAGTTGAAGATCTAGGGTGCCATCAGTGTCCACAAAGCACAGGTTGAGTGAAGCAGCAGCACAGAGCAAGCAAAGATGGAATCCTAGCTGGAGATCTACCTTGCTCACCTGTAGCCCATTCTCGGAAGAGTCCATGCTTCCTTTAAGGTTCTACTGCTGCTATTTTGAAATTCTTAATTTTTTGAGCAAGAGGCCCTGTGTTCTCATTTTGCACTGGGCCCCATTGACATCGCATTTGGTTCCATGTGCAGCTGCCACATAGGGATGGCCCATACCACACAGTCTCTGTCTCCATCAGAGGCCCCCATCATCTCGAACTGCCGATCATAGCAGGATCTTTGCTAGGTTTCCACCCAGCAAACCTTTGGCCTTGTCTTTTGTTAGCGTCTTTGTCCAGCGAGCACTGATGATACCGTCCGTCGCACCCTGAGTTGGAGGAGGACTATTCTGTTGGTACCAGACTATTAAGCGTGGACTAGAGAGAACCCAGATACCAAATGATACTTTACTTCCCACCTTCAGCAGCACTGGCTGGCCAGGCTGGGCTGAGTCAGTGCCTGGTTCCCAGACTCTCCCTGGTCACAGCAAACTCGAGGCTCCAGAGCTTTTTCCTTGGCAATTCTAGCCAAGATGTGAGATGTGGTTGGGAAAGACGTCTTACCAAGCCCGACTATGAAATCAGCCTGGTTGGCTGATCAGTCAACTTTCCCCCAGAGCCCTGTCTTCCATAGCCACTACAAGCAAAAGGAGGGACAAACAAAGCTCAAGTTAAAGGATAATGATTTTGTTGCCTAAGAAGGATAACATTCCACAGTGGTTAGGTTAACTCCTTTCAATTCAGCAAGGGAGCTTAGGTAGAAAATGGTAGAGTTATTCTTTTCCAGTAAGAACTAAACGGTTGTAAACAAACAAAAATTACCTTAAACATCAACAGAGAAGATTTTGATTTGATATGAAGGAGAATTTCACAACAGCTCAGACTTAGAGCTGTCTGTAGGGGAAACCAAACCAAAGAAAATTTAACCTGCACAGGAGTTTTGTCTAGACAGAATAAAAAGCACCTTCGTATTTCCTAAAGTCCCTGTCACAGGGCTTTGCAAGGAAGGTTTTTTCTATCAAGGCTAACAGTGGGCCAGTAAATGCCTGAACTTACGCAGGAAAGCTTTTTAGGATATCCCGGGAGAGATCACCCGCTTTTCCAAGAACTAGGCTATCCAAATAAAACTCTTGGTCTAAATTCACCTAACTAATTTTAAAGAGAAATATTTAGTTACTGATTCTGGAGTCTTTGTAGTCTTATGCAAGTCCCAGTTCTGCACAGTCATAACTGAAGAAATAAGTAAATAAAATTGTGTTCCCGAAGAGTCTCAGGGGAAAGAGTAAGACTTTATTTGTAATCCAAAACTTGTGAGGAAACTTTAGTTCTGTCTTCAGATGGAGGTTTCCACTGAAAAGGGAACAAAAACATGCAAAGTGGTTTTGCAACAAATTAGCCTCAGTTTTAAAAAAAATGCAGAGATGTAAAGAAACACCAGCGAACACCTAAAAGGGATTTCTCCAGCCTAGAACACAGGGCCTTCAATAAGGCAAATGGAATGTGATGCTGGAATCTGTCCCTCCAACATTCTCATTTCTAACCCTTCATCAGCCCACTGGAAGAGGGAGTGGCAGGTAAAAAAAGACAGTTCCTTCATATGTAATGATATCTTTATTGTTACATCTTCTTTCTCCACAACAAATGCAAAAATTATACTGATGGCGTTTGGAGAATGAACTATCAGATACTTATTTCATGGTTTTCATTCATTCATTCTCCAATCTAACAATTATCTGTTGATTGTCTGCTACGTGCCAGGGGCTATGCTGTTTATTAGGCGGTAAAAGCCCCTTCCTTCGGGTAGCTAGTGTTTAGCACACACAGATAGACGTGCCATACACACCTTGGAATTGAAATGTCCCTAATATTGGTCTTGAGATCCAAGAGAGGACAAAAGCTGTATGGTGCATTGATAATTGCATAAGCTCCTTTGTTGTATATATGCCTGACAGGCAAAAATTTCAGTTGTGATTAGGCTTTAATAGGAGCTAAATTCTCCACTTCCTGTTATACGTTTGATGATTATACGAATTTCATGTGGGCCTACTTCTGGCTCTATACATTTCAAATCTCTTTTTTCTTCCGATACCCCCATCCCCATTCTGAGGCTCAGCATCTTGGGATGCATTCATATGGCAAAAATTCCACAAGCTCTGGACCCTCATGCCATAATGTCAGAGGGTGGCAGAGGTGTCCATGAAACCATAGCTACACGAGCACAACAGCACATAATGTAGCTGCGCACACAGTGACTGAAACTCCCTAAATGAGAAGGGAAATGGACAGCAATCCTCACTGAAGTTAAAATAGGTTGTTTTACCGTCACACACACGCACACATACACACACACACACACACACACACACACACACACACAGAGATCATGTAGAGAAGTTAGAAACTCCTCCCAGAGTCTTGGTGGAGGCTCTACAAAAGGGCCTAAAGCAGAAGCTTGAGCCTGGTGAGCTTTATTTTCATCATGATCAATATGTATCTACAAAGAGACTGAATTCTGGGAATGTCTAGCCATTCCTGGCTGTTTGAGTAGCCTTAACTCACACATTTCCCTGTGGAGAAAAAGTAAATCTCTCAGTTGCCTAGATTCCAAGCCCTAAGGCTGCATTATGCTTATGTCCAAGGGTTATAAACATGAACTTAAACCAGGCTTCTTCATAAACGCCAATAAAAGATACTGTGACATTAAATTTTTCTGCTAATTTTAAATCTGACCTTCTTTCTTCTTCCATGGTCCTCTCCCATTTTCCCTATTGTTTGGGTTTTTCTCTGCTAGGCTTTTTAGTCTGTGTATTTTCTACTTCAAATTTTTGCTGTCTTCCGTTCCCTTTTGAGTCTTCTCATTGTTTTCTGTCTAGTCTTCACTGTGTGTGTGTGTGTGTGTGTGCATGTATGTGTGTGCATGTGTGTGTGCACGTGTGCATGTGTGTGTATGTGTATGTGTTTTACTGGTGATTGAACCTTGGGTTTTCACACTG